AAATAAAATCTTAAAAAAAAAAAGATGTTATTTATTTGAGAGAGACAGAGGGAGAGCACGCGTCGGGGTAGGGTCAGAGGGATAGGCAAACTCCCCGCTGACTGGGAACCTGACTCAGGGCTTGATCCCAGGACCTTCAGATCATGACCTGAGCTGAAGTCAGATGCTTACCTAAGCCACCTAGGCACCCCTATTTATTTTTTTAGAGAGAGAGAAAAACAGAGCATGCATGAGTAGGATATGGAGTAGAGGGGCAGTAGGAGAGGGAGAAGGGAATCTTAAGCAGGCTCCACAAGTGTGGAGTTCAGTCTGGGGCTTGATCTCATGACTCTGGGATCATGACATAGGCCAAAATTTAGAGCCAGACACCGCATCAATGAGCCACCCAAGCACCCCTTTAGTGGAGTTTTGTCGTTATTGGATTATATGAGTTCTTTATATATTTTGGATATTAACTTCTTATGAGATATATGATGTACAAATATTTTTTTTCCATTTCATAGGTTGCCTTTCATTTTGTTTTGTTTTGTTTTGTTTTTTACTGTGCAGAGGAGCTGAACAATCTATACCCTGAAAACTACAAGACTTTGATGAAAGAAACTGAAGAAGACACAAATAGATATTTTGTGTTCATGAATCAGAAGAATTCATATTATTAAAATATCCATACTATCAAAGCCATATATAGATTCAATGCACTGCCCATCAAAATTCCAATGACATTTTTCACAGAAAAAGAAAAGGCAGTTTTAAAAATTTGTGTGGTATTACAAAAGATCCTAAATAGCCAAAGCAGTCATGAGAAAGAAGAACCAGCTGGAGGCATCACACTGAATTACGCTACAAAGGGGTAGTAATCAAAACAGTGCGGCACTGGCATAAAAAATGACATATAAATTGGTGGAACAGAATCAAGAGCCCAGAAAGGGAAAAGAATAGTCCTTTAATAAATGGTGTTGGGAAAACTGGATAGCTACATACAGAAGAATGAAATTACACCCTTATCTTACACTACTCATAAAAATTAATTTGGAGTGGTTTAAAGACTGAACCATAGCAACTGAAACCATTAAACTAAAGATAACATAGGGAAAAAGCTCCTTGACATTGGCCTTGGCAATAATTTTTTGAATATGACATAAAAGCACAGCCACAAACGCAAAAATTAATAAGTGATAATAAAAAGCTCTGCACAGTAAAAACAAACCAAAAACCAAAACACACACACACACACACACACACACACACACACACACACACACACACACAAAACCCCCAAAAACAACCCACAAAATGAAAGTCAACCTGTGAAATGGGAAAATTTATTCCTAAGTATTTTATTGTTCTTTTTTTTTTTTTTTTTTTTAAAATTTTTTTTATTTATTTGACAGAGAGATCACAAGCAGGCAGAGAGGCAGGCAGAGAGAGAGGAGGAAGCAGGCTCCCCGAGAGAGCAGAGAGCCCGATGCGGGGCTCGATCCCAGGACTCTGAGATCATGACCTGAGCCGAAGGCAGCGGCTTAACCCACTGAGCCACCCAGGCGCCCCTATTGTTCTTGATGCTATTGTGAATGGGATTGTTTTATTTTTCAGATATTTTGTTGTTCTAGAAATGCAACTGTTTTTGGTATGTTGATTTTGTATCCTGCAACTTTACTGAATCCACTGATTAGTCTTAATAGTTTTTAGTGGAGGTTTTAGGTTTTTTCTATTTGTAAGATCGTATCATCTGCAAAGACATTTTACTTCTTCCTCTCTGATTTGGTTACCTTTTATTTCTTTTTATTGCTCTGGCCAGGACTCCCAGTACTATACTGAATAGGAGTGGTGAGAGCAGGCACTCTCGTCTTGCTCCTGATCTTAGAGGAAAAACTTTCAATCTTTTACCACTGAGTATGTTTCGGTCAATGTTTAGTGTTTACAATTATCAGTACATTAGCAACACTTGCAATGATCCAAGTAGTATTTTCTTTTTTAAAAATTATGTATTTATTTATTTTTGTTGGAGTATAAACCAAGTAGTGTATTCTGATTACAGTTCCTTTCCTATACAACTTCTGGGTTTTCCTGAAGTTAGTAACTGTTTCACATTTTTTATTTGCTTGGTTTCTCTAGGGTTTTATCGAATACTTCACCAAAGTATAAATATTTTCTCTACTTGTTCAAACATATCTGGTATTCTCTTAGTTTCCTTTTTCTTTTTTTTTTCCCTTGGAGACATGCCTCTGGGAGCCCACTGCTCTTCTGCTCCTCCTTGGACTGGGTGTTTTTTATACTTGCTTCATAGCTACCCTCCTGGGAACTCCCTGTTCTTCTTTACTGTGTTGGATCCCATTTCCTGAAACTCCTAGTTTCCTACCTGGCTTACTCATTCATTTCAGAGACCACCCTCCCTAAGAAAGGAGATGGGGAGCAAAATATTTTGGGATGTTGCGATCTTGAACATGACTTTATTCTCTTTTACCCTTGACTGATACCATGAACAGGTACAGAATTCTAGTTCTGAAAATAATCTCTCTTTCAAACTTTGAAAAGTTTGTTCCATTGTCTTCCTTTTTCAGAGCGGCTGTTGAACATCAGACCCCATTCTAGTTTTAGATCCTTTGCCTGTGATCTAGTTTTCCCTTAGAAGCTTCTGGGATCTTCCCTTTACTCATGTCCTCTCGCTCTGGGAAATTTTCTTTGATGACTTCCTCCTTTCTCTTTCCTTTGTTCTCTATTTCTGGAACTCATATTAGTCAGATGTTCAGTCTCCAAAATGCATCCTCTAACTTTTTATCCTTCCTTTATTTTCCATCTTTTTGTCTTTTTGCTCTACCTTCTGGAAAAATTCTTCAATTTTATATTTTAATCCTTCAGAAGAAAAATTCCACTTTCTCAGTCACATTTTTAATGACTAAGAGATCTTTTTTCTTTTTTTGTACTTATTTTATGGATGCAGTATTCCTTTGTTCTGAGGATATTACAGGTTTTTCTATTTTTTTTTTTTTGTAGTTTTCTTCTGCTGTCTGCATTGTCTTTATTTTCCCTAAATTCCCTTTGTTTTGTTCATTTTGGTCTTTTGCTTTACTAGAGGTTATCTGTGAATGTTGAATCATCATGGCTATCAATTCTTATTTAAGACTGAGGAGCTATAGCGTGAATAAGTATAGCGTGAACTGGCGGCTCTGTATGAGGGGTGACATTTGCCTGGTGAGTTTCACTGTTCAGTCAGGGAATCATTTCATTAGGGGACCCCTCCCCCACCATATGGCATTATCTAGGGGTCTTTACTCTGGGTTGGTAATTTCTCCAAAGAATCGCCTAATCTCTTGCGGGGGGATATCAACTTGGCCATCAACATCCTAGGAGCTGAAACACCGAATGCCCTCTGGTGGTGGCCGTGGGGGTCCTCACTATTCAGTATTTAGGCTTTTACTTATGTCTCCTTCTCTCAGTACAGAGCCTTACCCCCAGCCTCAGCTGTGCCAGATACCCAAGTCTGGACCCTTTCTGGTTTACCCCTCCAGAAAGCAAAGATCCTGTCTCCTGCTGTTTGGAGAAGGGGCCCTGGAGTTTAACTGTTCCTTAGGAAGACCTATAACTAACCTTCAAAAGTACATTTTATACTTGAATTCCTGCCCATCTAGGGTTTTTTTTTTTTTTTTTTTCACTCAGATCAGCCTGTCTTCCTTTCACCTCTTCTCCCAGCCAACACACACAGACGAGCCTGATCAGGTTTGTCTAGTGGGCTCAGTTGCTACTCATCCATACTCTCTTCAGCTTCCAGCATTTGGTTGATATTGCTTTTCTCTGTCGTTTCCTACTGTCCCTGTACGTTTATGCCTCCTTCATTCTTTCATGGTTTGCGGGGAGGGGAGCTGGAGTAGGAAGAGAGATTAGAGGTCCAGGTAGACACTCACTAGAAGTCCAAACCAAAAGCCCCCGCTGAAAATGCTTCGGTTTTGTGATTCTAAGGTAACACAAAAATCACTACTGTCAGACAGGTGTCGCCTGCTGGCCAACATGGTTAGAATAATCTTTGTTCCCGTACTCAGGAGCAAGCAGCACATGCCACCCACCTCTAGTGGCTCAGAGGTTCTCAAAGCGAAGGCCTACAGGCCCGGTGTGCATCCCACGGTCTCTAATGATGAGGGCTCCCAAACAGCACCCCCTGTATTAAAACCCACAGTGCTCCTTATTGTCGGGAGGTAATTGCTCATTGGGATGAATCATCCCTGCTTGACTTTCTTACCCCCACGAATATTCATGCTTATCTGCTCATTTGGTCTGAGATCAGAGGAGGATCAGCCCTATAGGGAATAAACTTCCTGTCCGCAGTCCAACCCTGTCATTGTCCTGGCCTGTTAAGTTGGCCTGTGGTTTTATCTTTACCCTGTGGAGAGTCACACACACACACACACACACACACACAAATGAGGTAAAAAGTTTGGGTGTGTGTGTGTCCTCAATTATTTTGATGAGGTAATGGGGTGAAAACACTTAAATAAGTATCACGCTGAACAAAGAAGCAAGTAATTAATTCACTAGTACTTAACAAGACGAACACGGACTGTATTTTATAGTTGCCTACAATTTCCTTAGGGTTTAAAATTATTTTCCAAGAAAACGTTTTCCACATTTTACATAGGATAAAAGAACGCTCAGAGAACTTACTGCAGTGTGTTCCAAACAGATCAGTAATTTTCTTAGGTTTGAAGTCAATAAGAACGGATATTTACATAAGTCAAACATTCCTTTCAGACGTCTTTCAATTCTAAGCAGTAGGATTACGACTCTGTTTTGCTTCCCTCTGAATTTTCTAGCTTAAGGCGAAAGAGCTTGGAAATGCGACAGATTTGAAGTATAATATTTCTTTTCACCATCAAATAAGCATCCTGGTCCAAATTTGACCTGAGTCTTTGATGCCTGCCAATCCCTTTTAAAACTCCAAAGTACTTTTCGTGATACCCGACATGAAGCACGTAGACCAGTCAAGGGCAGTAACCCGCTAGACCTACCTGTTGAAATAGCAAGTGACCAGCGCCCCAGCTACCGTCATGAGCTGGCATGCAAGGATGAATTCGCTGGTCCAGATGAGGCCAATTAAATGGTACCACCACATGTACCGAATGCCTACGAGAGGCTGATATTCCACTTGGCCACCTTCAATAACCCGTGCAGCTCCTAAAGTTTAAAACACAAACATGCTTTACACCAGTGTTTGCCAAAGCACGTAAGATGGTTCACTAGGCCACTCTTTCTGATGGCTGGCTGTTAGCATTCCCTGGACACAAAGATACCAGAGTAAAGTTGGAAGCATCCAACCTCATTTGAGCTCTTCATAGCACACACAGAAAAATGGGACACAGGTTTAACTTCTGAGTACTAGCAATAACCATATGCATAATGACTGATGGGTAGGCAATTTGCCAGACACTTGACCTATACTCTAACACTCATCCCACTCTGCAATTATGAACACTGAGGTGTGGAAGAGCCAAGGAACTTTCATAAAGTCTCACCCGTTCATGATTAGTGGAAGGAGGAGATAAACTCTGACACACTAGATCCTAACATCTATGGTTTTTCTACCACACCACTCTGTGATGAAAAAAACTTGTTATTAGGACCATAGCTGCTAGGATTATATTCTAGAACCCTGCTACCCCCCAAATTTAGAGTTTATAAATGAGACAAGACTCTCCATTTATTTCTAAGGGATTCATTTCAGATCAAGGGCAAACTCTTCTAGCGCATTTAAAATACCTACTGGGTCTCAGTGTTAACGTAGGTTTATATCTCAGCCTGAGCTGGGTAAGCTAGTTAGTCTCCTTAGGTATAATACCCATTTCCTGCTGGTGGGTTTGAATGAGATTACATGGTAAATGCTTAATATAGGGCCTGGTCCATAGAAAGTTCACTCCGTATGTGATAATGATTTTATTAAATTTCAGGAGCTCAATACTGGAGTAAACCAGGCCAGGAGGGTCACCCCAACAGGGCTCTGCCTTTTATATGGCCAGTCCGTTTGACTTACCCTCATCTGAGGAAGGCCCCAAATAAGCTCTGCAATTCAATTCCATTCAGGTTGGATTTAGTAAATCCAAATCCCAGCTCCGTGGCTCGGCGTGATTTCCAGATGTTTCTCCCACTATGTATTTAAAATTATTGTAACTGTACTAACTACAATCCTAAACGATCACAAGTCAGAAGATGGGCACTTCCGTCTTTAGCAAACCTACAACCTGAATGACATTTAAGGACTGTTTCATATTTTCTTTCTTAGGTACAAACTGGTTTTAGGTTCATAATTCCTGTGTCTAGAGACATTCACAAGAGGGTCTCTGTGGAGGAAGTGGGAGAAGGTAATAGTGACGTGAAGCAACCGGATTCCACGGACCGAGGCCGGCCTTCGGGCTTTAGGCCCTGCGTTCTGCTGAACAAGAGTCACATTGTGAGAAACAGTGGAGCAGCCTGATTTACACAGAAGTTAATATTTGATTGAGCACTGGGCTCTTCCTGCCTGGGAGGCCATCTCTTGTTTCAGGTATGGCACTGAGAAATGCTTATGCTTTTCCAAAATGGGTGTGTTTCAGAAAAGCATTCCCTGCGCTAAAGGAGGTGAGCCCCTCACCACTAATGACTAATGCACTGAGGTAGATCAGGTCGGGGGAGACTTGGAGAATCACTTCATGGAAGGTCAGAAATGACTAGGGCCAGCCCACAAGCACACTCTACTTCCCGCAAGGTCAGGTCCTGGGGAGAGACGGCAGTTTCGCAAGCACAGGCCTAAAACGTCACACATGGTTTGGGGGTGGAGAATGTTCCCACAGAACAGGAGGCATGCTTGCTTTGACAGATGAAAGGTAAATACGGAGCGCTGGCTGCTAAGCGTGGGGGGCGGTCTCTCTTCTTGGCTGCCCTACACCATCAGGGGCACGCTCACACATTCGGGCTCGGCACACTGATGGCTATAGCGACTGGAGAGTGGCCAAAGTGGTAAGCCCAGGTTCATACAAGCCGTCCACCCCTCAGCATTTTCCAGAGAAGCAGAACCCCTATGTTATTTTGGTCACTGCTGTTTTAGAGTATCTTTGTCTCCGCCACCTTCTTTGTTCCTCTGGTTCAGCTATACCGGGCTGTTTTCAGTCTTTCCTTTAGGGCAGGGTTTCTCAACAAACCAATTCACATTTTGGTGCAGATAATTCCTCGTTGGGGCTGTGGGGGGCTGCCCTGTGCCTTGTGGGATGTTTAGCATTCATTCTGGCCTCTGCCCACAAATGCCAGGAGCAACCTCCCTTCCCTCCTCCACTTAGGACAGCCCGAAAGGCCTCCAGACACTGCCAAATGCCACTTGGGGGGACAGACCTACTTCTCAAAAACCTCTGCTTTACAGCAAACAATCTCTGAAAAATCAGGCGGCTCAGGCTTCAGGCTGAAAGCCTAGGAAACAGTGGTTACTGCCTGTGGGTGGGGCAGGCACGTTTATGCGCGCAAGACTGCCCTCTCCTGGATGGCAGTGTCAGTGCAGGCAAGAGCCCTCCATCAGGACCGGCAGCTTTGTGGAAGACTGACACTGGAGCTATCACTCTTGTGTTAAGCGGAACTGGACTTCAGATAGATCCCAAACTATGACGATCACAGGGATGATGGTGCAAAGGGCACTGAACTCGGAGAGGACTTGGTCCCAGTCTCAGCTTTTGACACATGTGATAAGCAACCTGGGCCTCTGCTCTCTCATTGTCCAGATGAATAGGGTGGACAAGACAAACCCTGAGGCAGTAGTTACAGCCTTGGGCTTGAGTCCCACAGGGTGAGATTCATATCTCAGCACTGACCCCTAATGGCTGACCAGCCTCGGGCAGATTATGGAGCTTTGTAACATCTCTGTTCCACCTCTTGTAATCTGAAGACACTAACACCAACTCCTTGCATCCTTGGCAACCCTGTCCAGTCTTATGACCTTGAGTGCCGTACAGGCAGCTGTTATGAGGATTAAGTGGCTAAGACCCTGGGAAAAGTGAGTACGATACAAGGTTAGGTATAACCGAAAGACAGGTAGAGAGAATTCCAGCTCTGGAATTAACAATATTTATTAAGCATCTACTACTTGTTGGAATGATGCTGGACATTAGCCACTAATGGGGGGAATATGAAAGACGCGAACAAAGAATCAGAAAGAAGATACCATCTGAGTGACTATCAGGAACTCACATGTTGCTTTATTTGTCTACTCACCTCCCCTTCTTCTGGACTGTTTGTAAGTCCTCCTTGAACCTCTAAGGGTCCCCCCCTCCCCTTGTTGCTCTCTGTCAATGATCTTACTTTTGGTTTCTCTGAGGAAAGAGGAGCAATCAGAAAACCTCTGCCGGGGCCTACCTCCAACATCTACTTGCTGTCAGCAAGAGCCCATAGCCCGACCCCCACTTAATGGGATACACTGTCCGTGATCCTAAAGCTAACCCTTCCTCTGGATCTCCTCCTCATCTACTGATGACAGCTCTTCAGCAATTCCCCTCCCTGCTTCCTTCATTCAAATGTACCTCTTAATGGAATCATTAACCATCTCTCATCTTTAAAAAAGCAAAACAGGGGCGCCTGGGTGGCTCAGTGGGTTAAAGCCTCTGCCTCCGGCTCAGGTCATGGTCTCAGAGTCCTGGGATCGAGCCCCACATAGGGCTCTCTGCTCAACAGTGAGCCTGCTTCCCTTCCTCTCTGCCTGCTGCTCTGCCTACTTGTGATCTCTCTCTCTCTTTCTCTCTGTTAAATAAATAAATAATCTTAAAAAAAAATAAAAAACAAAACAAAAACCAAACCTTCTCCTGACTCTACTTCTCCAGCTTCCTTGCCATTTCTCTGTTCCTCTTTAAAGTTTTTTTTTTAAGTTCATTTATTTATTTTAAAATAATCTCTGTACCCAAGGTGGGGCTCAAACTCATGACCCTGAGATCAAGCACTGCTCGCTCTTCTGAGCCAGCCAGGCGCCCCTCTGTTCCTCTTTATGGCCGAATTCCTCAAGATGGTGCCTACTTACTCATTTCTATTCTTTTCTCCCTCTTTCCCTTAAACCCACTCTGATCAGGATCCACCCCTGACCTCCAAACTTCTCTAAAGCAGTTTTGTTACGAAATTCAGTGATCCGTCCTCAATCCCTTGGGTCTTATCTCGCTTAGCCTTAGCTTGACACACTGGAGGCCACTCCCATATCCCTGAAGCCCTTCCCCCACACTCCAACACCGCACACCTTCTATCCTCCGGCCCACGGGCTGCTCCTGGTCAGCCTCATTTCTGTTTTCCTCCTCAGCTCCTGGATCCTTCACCGCTGAAGTTCCCTAAAGAACAGCCCTTGGATTTCCACTCTTCTCCCAGCACTCATTCTACTCTCATGGTTTTAAAAACCATTTCTAAAACGCTCCCAAATTCCCAAATGTGGCTCTCTAGATGGGACCTCTCCAGAAACTTCAAACTCAAACAGCTAACCTCCCACTTGACATCTCCAGCTGGCTGCCAGAAAGCTGTCTGGGTTAACATGATCAAGGCTGATATGATGTCTCCTAACATGCTCCTCTCAGAGTCTTGCCCGGTCTTGGCTGACGGCAGCCTCATTCTCCCATTCCTCAGCGTCATCTCTAAATCTCTTCCCTTCACACCCTCTGCTAATGTATCAGGAAATCCTTCAGAACAGCCAGGGAATCTGGTCTGTCCCACCTCGCCCATTATTATGCCAGCACCATCTCTTCCCTAGATGACTGCTGTTAAAATGTAAGTCAGGTCATGTTACTATTCTGTTTAAAACTGGAATGACTTCCCACCTCAGATTAGAACTAGAGTTCCTATAAAGGCTACAAGGCCCAAGGATTTGACCCCATGCTCTCTCTGACCCCTTCCTGACCTATACTATCCCTCAACCACCCCCACTCCAGCTGAACGGGTCTGCTTGCTGTGCCCCCAGTACCCTTGCCTCGTGTTGGTCCCTTTATCCTTGCCTTCCTTTTGCCAAGAACATTGTCCCTCCCTTTATATAGGTCGTGGCTCTGCCCTTACCTCCTTCAAATCTTTGCTTACATATCACCTTCTCCGTGAAGCCCTCCCCAGTCACCAAGATTAAAATTGCACTCCCGCTCATTCCTCCTCCCTGCTTTAATTTTCTCCATACCACTTATCAGCTTTTAATGTACTATAAA